TCTGCCCTCTGTATTAAAGTGTTCCACCATGTTGTAGTTCTGACCTTCTGCTCTGCCCTCTGTATTAAAGTGTTCCGCCATGTTTAGGACTACAGTCTTTGTAGTCCAAACCAGCAGCTCTGCCTTTCTCTGTATTCTGTTGCTATAGCGATTGGCCCTCAGCCAACTGCTGTGTGTGTGAGACAGAAAGCTGGAGAAGGATTTCTATCTTTATGAGATACACAGTCAGTTTTAATGAAAAAAGCAGTTCGAACAACTGCTTCCCGTTCAGGATCCGTAAGGCCGATCCAAAAACCATTTGAACCGTATGAGAGGGCTATTTGTTGACTCCAATAGTCCTGCGATTCATATCTGTAGGTCACTCACAGAAATAGCAGCGATGAGAGAAAAATGGTGTGCGCTGAGCTCAGAAATTTTCAGAAAAGTCTGAAAATGAATGGCTGAGAGCCTGTTGCTACCCGGTCACATGATTTCGCTCTGAAGCACCTTGACAGAAAACCGTCAGCCCTAGAGAAATTTCGAAAACATTTTACGGAAGCAGGCATACGTATCAATGTCATGACTGACTTCCATACCAATAGAGCATATTTTGTAGGCATGAGGGCGATTTTAAAATTGTTTTGGGGTCAAAAATCCACTCCGTTTCTCACTAAAAAAGTGGCAGTTGGTGGCAGTTACACTCTGCAGTTTGGCAGTTGGAAATTTCACTAGTTTTTCGCTTTTTACGTCGCCATCGTAACTCCGATCCCCAATAAAAATAATAGCTCTCATCTTGGCATCGAGCCGCACGTTTTGATACCACTTTTGTTGGTGGGCATGCCGCGGTACGAGCCGCATTAAGGGAACATATCTTTATAAATGTCTCTTTATAAAAATATAAAGAGACATTCTATTGGGTGTAGAACAATAGGTGCATGCCATTAGCATTACATAGGATTACATAGGTATTATGTAATCCTATGTACATAATACATAGGATTAGTGACTGCAGTGACTGCCTTGCGCAGTCACTGCTCTTCCCTATGTAATGCTAATGGCATGCCCCAATAAATGCCCCAATAAATAATAAAGCACAACAGTGCTTTACAAACATGGAATTAGAACATATGGATGTGGCACATTGTCACCGACACCCAAAGCTGGATTTTTTCAATATTGGGACTGATACCCATATTAGTATCGGATCAGTGCATCTCTACTTATAACAAGACATTTTTTACTTGATAAAAGTAAAATAATCAATAACAATTTTATCAGTATTAAGGAATTATTGACTTAAAACAAGCTCCTATATCTTACTGAAAAGTTATTTATATTTTAGTTTAGTTTTATTTGAAGTGCAGTGAGACATTTGCAGCAGAAACCAGGTCAACAACACTTGGTAAGATTTTGTGTTTTTGCAGTGTACTTTGTGTTGCTGCTTCTCTGTGAAAGTTGTGGTTATAATGTGACTAGAAATGAGAAAGTGGGAGGAGTGTGAACACTTGAAGAGGTTTACAGCATATGCAGGATGACTCTGTCCCTTCAGCGCCTCCACAGCCTTCTCCAGCCCCTCCCCCGTTATGCCATTGGCCGAAACGTCCAGCAGCCGGAGGCGGGGCATGGTGGTAGTCGTGGCAACCAGTTCTGGAAGGAGGTCGTCATGGAGACGGTTCCCAGAGAGGCGGAGCTCGGTGAGGCTGGCCTGGAGCTTGAGGGCACGCAGCAGAGGGTTGAGGGAGGCGGGGGCCAAACTGAGGCCGCACAGCGACACGGACTGGCCGCCGTCCTGGACCTCGCACAGCCGGGAGACGCGTCTGTCCTCGTCTGGAGGCGGAGACACGTTTGGTTACAGCAAATAAATAAGAAACAGAAAACTTGCTGTTGCGTTACGGTCCGTGCTGCTCACCCACTGCCAGACTCTGACAAGCCTTCCTATAGCGATCAGGAAGAGGAGGGAGATCCCAGGAGCAAACTTCAGCCAAAACCTGCAATCAATCGATCAATCAATCAATCAAATTTTATTTATATAGCACCTTTCAGCAACAAGGCATTTCTTAACATTACATTTTGCTGTCGCTTCATTTATTATGTTTTAAAAGCAACTCTGAACAGCTGGTTATAGATTTAAAGGCACTCGGTGTTTCGGCTGATCTGCAGTTTTCAGGAAGTGGTGCAGATTTGTGGTGTGTAGCAGCTGAATGCTACTTCTCCATGTTTGGTTCTGGGCATACAGATCAGAACCAGAACCGGAGGACCCGAGGGGTCTGGAAGGTTGATGCAACAGCAGCAGATCTTTAATGTATTGTGGTGCTAAACCGTTCAGTGATTTATAAACGAACAGAATTATTTTAAAGTCTATTCTTTGAGCTACAGGGAGCCAGTGTAGGGACTTTAAAACTGGTGTTATGTGCTCTATCTTCCTGGTTTTAGTGAGAACAGCAGCAGCGTTCTGGATCAGCTGCAGCTGGAGGATTGATTTATTAGTCAGACCTGTGAAGATGCTGTTGCAGTAATCAACCATGCACTAAAGATAAATGCATGGATGAGTTTCTCTAGATCTCAGTGAGACATCAGTCCTCTAATCCTAGAGATGTTCTTCAGGTGATAGAAGGCCGACTTTGTGACTGTCTTAATGTGGCTCTGGAGGTTCAGGTCAGAGTTCATCACCTTCTGGCCTGATAGCTGGTTTTTAGTTGTAATAACTGAAGCTGTGCATTTACTCCAGATCTTTCTTGTTTAGGTCCAAAGATAATAACTTCAGTTTTGTTTCTGTTCAGCTGCAGAAAGGATTATGGATGCAAGATATCGATTAATCAGTTTATCTAAAGTTGATTGGTTAATCTCCTTTATTTATCCCTCACCTCCTCGTTGGTGTGCAGCACAGCCAGCAGCAGGTCCTGTGGTGAGAGCAGCGCTCCTTCCTTCTGCAGCGAGAGGCGCGGCAGGAGGCCACATTTCTGGTAGTAGCGCTGAGCTGCCTGCTCACAAAGCCACGACACGGTGCAGGAGTCCGCCTCGCTGCAAATAAAACCCAGCATGATGGTTTAACTGGGAAAAAATCACCCAGAACCCTCCAGATCTGAAACCAGGGCTTCTGCAGCACAAACCTCTGTGGAACTGGGATGAGGAAGACATCTTCTTGCACTTTGACCCTCATTCTGATTGGTGGAGGCAGTGATGCTGGTATGGGAGCAGCAGGAGCCAGAGGCTAAAATATACAAAGGAACCAGGAAGAGACTCAAATTTACCTTCAAATACAACATCAGGAACGATTTAATTACAGTCTGTGCATTAATTCACAGCAAATTTCATTTTAAAGACACTTTGAAAAGAAAAATGAATCAAACTAAATACAGACTATCCAAGTCAAAATGAATCCATCCCAACCCGGAATATAAAGTCAGAAAAAGTTTCATTAGCCAAGAAAACTGACTTCAGAGAAGCACCAAAGACGCCATCTTGAATCATGTTTTAGTCCACAAAAAAAAAAAAAATAAATAAAATAAATAAAAATCCACAAGAAATAATGCAGTTAAACTTCTTTATGCCATTTTTTGGGAGGGAGAAAAGCAACAATTGACCGAACGCCTCACTAAGGAAGAAACTTAAAATTTAAGTTTATACAGCACTGTATAAGCTTACTTTACTTTGTGTCAGTGCTGTATAAATAAACAGCGTTTAGTTGAAGTTGGTATCTGGCGTCTCACCTGAAAGTGCACCAAAGGAGGAGCTTCAGGCCTCATGTCTTCGTCGTCTGGAACGGAGGGGCTGTTTGACCTGCTGACCTCTCGTGTGCCCAGCCTCACCATCCCTGGCATCTGAGTCACCTTGACCTGGTGAGGCTTCAGCGAGCCGTTCTTCCTCTGAGAGAGCCCTCTGCTGGACGAGATTGACACAGCGCCTAAAGGAAGAGAGTCCAATAGGGATCAAATGATTAATCGTGATTAATCACAATAAATAGATTACTAAAAAAAATTTTTTTTTGCACTTTAGGTATACTTTCCAATTTAAAAAGCAATTAAATTGTTTATTTGCATGTTATTAATGTAATTCTAATCTCGTATAAACGAGACTTAAATGAAAAGTCTGCAGAATGTACTAGTTTTTAAGAAGATGTCTCCATTAATCGTCAGAATAGTCGATTAATCGATAACTAAAATAATTGTTAGCTGCTGCCTTTTGAGCCAAAGTGAAACTAGGAGTGGTTACCTCTGCAGGACGACTCTGCGCTCAGATGATTCTGACTTCTAGCCAATGACGAAGCCGCTTCCTCCCGTCTTGGTTCGTTAAAATCGATTCGAAGCCGTCTCTTCTTCTTCGGCTGCATCTCACCCAGATCGTCTTCCAACCAGTCGTCTGCCAGATACTCGTCCTCCGGAACCAGAGCGGATGAAACGGTCGGCGTGCTGGAGAACTGCGGCTGTGAAAGAGCCTGACGAAGAGTTTTGGCGCTGCCCAAGCTGCGGATGGCGCTGTGGTACTCGTCTCGTTGGAAAACGCACGGCGCAGGGGCCTCCCTGGTGCTTTCGGTCCTGAGCGGCTCCTGGGCTGAGGGATTCTCCTTCTGACTCGGAGCGGCTGGGACGGCGTGTCTGGGACGGACGGGGCGGAGAGGACTGACCGGGCTGTCGGAGTCGCTGCTGTCTGAGCTGCTGCTGGACGTCTGAACCACACAGACAGACTCCGGTTTACTTTTCTCTAGTTCACAAACAAAAGCAACTCTAATGTTGTCTTTGCAAACATTACCCCGTATATAACAGAGCCCTCGGTGCCTCTGGCTCTGTGTTGCTTCGATGTGCCGCTGCTCGGCCGCTGCCTGGGGCTGGATCTGTCCTGGTTTGACAAAGAGCGCCCTCTGGTGGCCAGGAGGGGCTCTGAGTTCTCTGCATCAAACAGCTGGCTGTCCTGCAGGGCATCAAACGGCTTGGCTGCAGCCGGAGCAGCAGGAACTGTGTTGAAGAGAAATTGAGAAAAATAAAAGTATTTAGCAGTGTGTTATTTTAAAGGTGGCCTTAGAATAGGTCCATGTGAAACAAAGCATGTTTATTACAAAATCATTCTTTGATTATGAGATTTTAATCTGGTAATTTCTGCTGGTTTTCAGTCCTTTAGGGCCTCTTGTCACTTTAAATCCAAATAATCTGCTGCTGGCCCCCAACTCAACATTTACCCTCGCACGTGAAAAAGGCTGCAAACAGATGAGCAATTATACAACCAAACATCTTTGAAAAGCAGAAGTGGAACCTCCTGCACAACCAACAGAATGCAGGAAGTGGTTTCAGAACGGTAAGTCACCAAAACCCAGCAGCCATTACAGAGCGCCTACAGCAGTAAAACCAGCTGACCAAACGTGCTGAAGCTGAGATTGGGTTGCTAGGTAACGGGCAGAGTTCCGCTGGGGTTGCTAGGTAAGGGCTCACCTCCTCCTGCGGCCGCCTTCCTCAGCAGCTTCTCCGTGCAGAGACACTCCTGCCTGGCCTCCTCGTCCAGCTCCTTCCTGTACGTCCTCTGCCAGTGACGCAGCGTGTCCATCGGAGTCTCACCCTGAAGGAACGGAAATAACTAAACTCATGAGAAGAAAATATCCTGACTGGTTGCCACATTTTGTTTTGTTGGTGAGCATTAATAATCCTGTTGGTGGTGGCAGCATCTTGCTCCAAAATGGCTGCCTCCAAAACTGGGACTCAATATTAAACTGAACTTATTTATACTTTAAAATGTTGTCATAACTCACATCATCAAGCAAATGGAAATTATTGAGCCAATTTTGATTTATCATGTGATTAAATGATTTATTGTTCATTGTGACAGGCCTACACATCATGACTGCCCAGAAGTAAAAAAGATAGAGTAAAAATGCTTCCAGCAGCAAAAGAAACATAAAAAGTTCACACAAAAAAAATCTGAACCAATATAATAGAGTTTTTCCAACTTGCTGCCAATTCCAGAACTGCATAGAAAGTTCTGGAATCTTTTAGCAAAAAATGTGAAAAACTATTGATAACTTCTTTCACTTCACGTTTATGCACCAGTTTGTGGCTTAAAATCCTAATAAAATACATCAAAGTTATCTTTAAGTCCCAATATGTGGGAAAGTTTGAGAGACAGAAAAATTTTTCAGGTTTATTTGCAACATGTGGAAACGTTTTGGAAACAACTTGATGCTGCTGCACCCAAACATTCATCTCCCTGTGAGAGCGGCAATTCTTGAAAAGCTTAAGTAAAACTTAGCGGTTTGTATTAGAAATACATCAGAGCCACGAGGGAAACTAAGAAGCAAACTAAAGTTGACCTTTTGAAACCTTGGTTAAGCTGATCATTTCTGATCTAAATCATTTAACAACAACAAGTGCTAAAAACCACAGACTGGTAAATCATCTCCACCACAGCGCCGACGTTCCTGTCAGATCTGAGTCAATGGCGCCGGTGCAAAGATCTGCAGCTGGATTAATTACCACAATACTCAAAAGCATTAAACATATAATCAAATTAAAAGTGACTGAAAAGTGCATTTAGTCATATTTTCTATCTGTTATCTACAGGAGAAAATATTTCAACTGATTATTTCTGTTAGTCTGGATTAATGCAGAAGCTCAGCTACAGCAGCAAATAAAACAAAACATCATCTCACAAGCTGCTATGAGAAACCAGATCAGTGTGAAAACCACGAACATCGGGTCTGAAATAAAACCAACGCTGCAGTCAGCTTCTTTAAAATAGAAAACAATAAAGCTCAAATTTACAGCAAATGTTTCTACAGGCTGCAGAATTAGACGACGTGATCTGAAAAATGAAAGGCAAAGAAAAGGAGAAATAAAATGAAAACAAAAAAATAAAGAAAAGGAAGGAAAACAGAAAGAGAGCAAAATACAGGAAAGAAAAAGAAAAGGGCAAGAAAAATGACAAAATAAAAAGAAAAAAGAGAAGCAGAAAAGAAGGAAAGAAAGAAGGAAAAAGAAAGAAGGAAAGAAAGAAGGAAAAAGAAAGAAG